AGCAGTGCAGGCACCGAACCTGGGAGACAAAAGTAAAGAAATCACATTTGAGACAAATGAATAGAAATGCTTCATGGCCAGCGGAAAAGGGCGGACACCAGCAGTGACAGAAAGGGCGGACACATCTTAAGCAAGAATTGAGAACCCCTAACAGTAATATATTGTATATTCCAAACATATTGCTTGTGCAAACCTCGAAAGGGAACAAAAACCGCCCAACATGTGTTGCAACTCACGTTGCAATTATGTGGGAAAACACACTACAAATGCAACACATACTAAATTAGTTCATGGCAAAGCGAAGGAAGGACATAGATCAAATGTAGGTTCCTGATATGTGGTACTCTCAGTGTGATATCTTTCGTGTCTTTGCGTGGCTCTACATAAGCAAGTCTTCTCAAAGCAAGTCTTGAACGCTGAACTTTCCCAGCCTCTGTGAATTGCTCTGAGTCCATATTGATGCTTTGGGAAGGCTCGTATTCAAGTTGCCAATCTTCAGCAGCGCAAGCTGTTCTTGTTGGAATCTCTGTTGGAGTTTCCAATCTGACGGATCGGAGTCCGGCCTCCGCGCCAATCTTGGCTAGCTCCCTTCGAGATGCCGGGACACGCCCGCTGGCAACCGCACTTGTGATAAAGCTAGAGCCAAATTCCTTTGGGTCCACTCTTATGGAGGAGGCTAAATCTTGTGCCTTTTGGAACGCAGCACTCATCAGTTGCAGAAGACCACCTTTCGATCCCGATTCCTGAATGGGGTGCCCAATCGAGATATTCAAATGAAGTTGACCTGCTTGAGCTTCCACAACTCCCTTGTTGGGATGTGTGCGGGTCACCTGCAAAGTCTCCGCTCCAAGTGCGAGGCAGCCTGGGGATCGAACCAGTGGAAATTCCTTCCCTTCGGATAGCAGCCCTTTCTTCCATGCATCAAGCAAGCCAGTTTCTGAGTATAGCGTGATGTTGGCACTGTTAAACGCACAGTCCACTGAAAGTTTGACTGGAGTAAGCAGCAAATCCGTCTGGACAAAAAGATCGATCTGGCCCTCACTTCTCTTGCAGTCCTACACAAGTTCAGGGTTGTGAGATTGATGCCGCCTAGTCAACTTCCCTATGTGACAACTGCTCAATCTCCCAATTATGGGATTCGGTATTTGCATCTAGTTGCAATACAATGAAGACTCAACATCTCTGGACAGGGCCGATTGCTTCAATCTTGCACTGTCAGTCCTTGATTAAGCCTTGCGACTTGTAGTTGGTTGCATTGACGGATATCCACCGTCCCTTGATTGAGTTGCAAGGCGTCTTGTCCAAGATGGAGCTAGCTTCACGCGGTTGGCTTTTAAACATCGCGATAAGCAAGGAATAGAAATCCATGTTCTTCAATGTTCTTGCCACTTCACCATCGAGTGTCTTCGAGTCAAAAGCAGGATCATTATCTCGGAAATAATCAAGCAACTTTGCTTGCAATTCTTTCACTCCTTTTTTGTCACTCTTAGCATTCAAGTGCCATTCCACATTTCTTGCCTGCTCAGGTGTCAATTTCTGGACTGGTGAAAGATTCCAAAAGACATCGTGCTCTTCACTGATGATTCTCCGCCTTGGATTCACCATGCTTCACCAAATCACACACACACATGTCATCCAACTCATAGGTCACTACTATACAAAATGACAGTATTTAAGATGTTTGCTAGACAAAAGCAACTATGAGAGGAATTCACCACCTGCTGAACCCTTGCTAGCCTTTAGCCTTTCCCACAATGACACTCGGGGACCTGCATGTAGCGTGCTTCAGATTTAATATCATTTAAGGACGCAAACAAGCCATGGTAAGCCGACTGCTAGGGAGCCTCTCTCTGATTCCTAGACTGACCGATGATCTAGACTGCTTTTTAAAGAATGCCCACCTCCGCCCTTGAGAAATACTTGCTTGCTCTTCACAGCCCCGTTCCCATGAGATAAGGCTGAACCAAGGCACGATGGGTCGAGTAAGCTCACACAAAGGGCGAGCGACCATAGCAAGGTAAGGAATTGCGCACTCACGGTGAGCGCCATTGCATCCACTGGATTCCCCTTCGCAAGTGTGTGTGTGTGTGTGTACCAACTTCTGTGGCTGTTCCAGGTGACTTGAGCAACTGAAGCATTGAAGGGAGGTATATATGTTGAAGAGGCGTCTGGCACAACTGGGTCATCAGCAAACAAAATGCATAGCTTGAATCAAAGTGCTGTTCCTTCAACCTGTTCAATCTGCAGTCTTGTTTTTAACACTTTTCAACATATCGGGGAAACCCAGTGACATCTGTTCTACCCCTGCAATGTTGCAGGTCTCCGTAGAGCAGCTGGACACAGGAGTGGCGCAGTGTTAACACACAACAGCCACAAGCAGTGCCACAACAGGAACACAAGAGGACAACAACCCTGGAGCACGAGCACCTTGCAAATACAAGCTCAAATCATGGTCAAAGATAATCTTCTAGTTTCATCTTTGACCATCACTCATGACTCACGACCATGCTTTTTCTATCTTTTTCTCAAGAATGTCCCGGTGTGAGCAAGACTCTCTGCCGCTGAGCAAGCAGCTCTGGTGGTCCGGAAGGCATCCGCCAGCATCTGCTCATTCCGCCGTTGGGTCGCCCAAACCTCGGCCCACCCGGCGTGCCCCCCGATGCACCAAGGATTGTCCAGCTCAAAGGCTCACTGTGAAAACCAGTGTGACGAACACACTGATAGTGGGGATGGACATGAAGGCTTCACTTCGGTGTAAGTGAGTCGGTTACACACACACCAAAGAGAAGTAGTGGAACCTCCCCGGCCATCCAAGAAAGAGGAGAGAAGTGTCTACTGACACAATCTGGGACTACCATTTTTGGGGGCATCTGACTGACTATGAAGGAATCAAGGAATGAAGTTGAAGTTCAAAGTTGTGAGTATATCGAATAGTATCAACATACTTATCAACATGTACACAACTACACTGGTGGAAATGGGACCGATCCAACGCGGCAAATCCAAATTAGTCCACTCTTCTCTACTCTTGTTGGATACTTCCGCTTTCTTTGGAAGCACCATGGAAAAGTAAAACATTGATTTCTGGCCCATCACCCCTGAAGGGTAAAATGCAAGAGCAAAAGTCCGTCAGCCCAAGTTGGAGCTTGCTGAGGGTGCTGCGTTGTTTTCAACGGACTTCACCACGTTCTCACCCACATTGCTAGTGATCACCTTGCTGTCAGGTCCAGCTGGAACTGCTGGAGCACTTTGCAAAACATTTTATATGGCCTCTACATATCTGCACATCTCAGAAAGTGGATGAACATGGTCTCTGCAGAAAGACCAGCTTCCGCAAAGGGAGCCATTGACTTGCATGCGAAAACGCGTGAGACTGATTTTGCAAAGTGATGGGTGTCCATATGCATGTGTCCATCACACCTGAAGTTCTTGCACACTTACCCAATGTACAAGAAATAAGTAAGTAAAAAACAACAAAACGCATTGTCCTCTACAAAGAATAATGATTGCTCGGAAGGGTCATTGAGTCCATTTGGTTCATTTAAGTCCTTGCAGTTCTGTAAAGTTCAACATCAGCGCGAAAGAATGCTTAGCAAGGAATAAGGGAATGGATTCTAAGGAATCTCTATTGGAGGTCATTCCCTACAAGTGTTGAAAGTCCGCAAGCTTCCCGGTGCCATTGATTTTGTCAAAAGCTTACTTTAAAGGGAGTAAACAGATTGTCTTCAATCGCGTTCTTTGTGTAATACATTGTAATACATAATCCTCCCTTCGAAACCCTCCTGGAAGGTCCAGGCAAAAAGAATCCACTAAAGACTGAGGTCTTTGCAAAGAAGCGCGCCCTTGGATCCTGACGAAGCGATCTTTCTCACGGACAAGATTCAAGCGTTCAGACAAGAAAAGCCAAAGGCACACCCTTTGGTAACGCACAGCCTTGGTATTTCCTAGTGTGGTATGAACTTTTGAGTTTTAATTTTGACATGCGGGTATCTCAGGGGACCAACAAGGACCGGCTGAGTGAACTGGAACTCGTCTACTTTGGAATCGGCCTTGAGCTCGGGCGTCTCCTTATTGACAAACAAACCTACCTCTTTGGCGGAAAGAGCCGTATGCAGCAGGGTAGGGGAGACAGTAGGATGAACAACGCAGCATGGCGGGATGGTCCTGGTCAAAAAACTATTGTTTAGGGAGGTCCATGTCCATTGGATGTCTGGATGTCTGGATCATTCCTGAAACATCCATCCTTCCAAACAAACACCTGCTGGACTTCTTGAAGATTCTTGCAATTGAGCACAGACTCACCATGCTTCACCAGCCAAGAACCCCTGAATCCCCTCCTGTAGCAGCGGGCTTCGTTTGAAGCCTGCTGGTTCTCGCAGCATGCCCGGCCACTTTCACCACGGCCGTGAATAAATTCTCTCTGCTGTGGTTCGAACTATATTTACTGCTCTATGTCACTCTATGTGGACGCAATTTCTGGGGTCCTTGAGAAGCCTGTCAACCGAAGCTGCTCTCAAAAGTAAAGGTACCGGCCATAGGGCCTGGACAAATGACTTGCTGGTGTAGGTTTTGTAGCATGCTACTTTTGCAGAGTCTGTTTAAACATGTTTAAAGTACTACTGTACGCCAAAGTGCATTGACCAACCATGTGTTTAGTTTACTATATTGTTGAAAACACTTCGCTTGGCTGTGGTGTGTGTGTGTGTGCGCGTGTGGGTAGTGCTTTTGAAGTGTAGGGAAGCCTGGCAAGCCTGAGCTTGCTCTTGCAGCTATGGCGGAGCCAAATCAAGGAACCAAACATAACGAAAATAGATCGTGTCCAGAATTTAGAAATTGGTCCACTCAAAGTTGACTCTTGAAGGCTCTGTTCAAAAAGACAGGACGCTGTTGCGTCGAGCTCTTCACCATGTGCTTTGTGGCAGGCAAATGTAAAAGCACACTATACTATATACTACTATACTATACCCAGTGGATCCAGTTACCATAGCTGGTATTAAATGGTTCCAGTTCCACTCAAACCGACCGGTCTGACGTGTACTCACTGGGATTGAACGTCACCGGAAGGCGATGACGATGCCGGGGGTGTAGTTGGGCCAAACCCGGACCTGACTACCCCAACTAGCCGGGCTTGGGGGCTTGGAGGCTTAGTATGTCCAGCGTCTTGCAAAGCGAGTGTGTTATTATTTGCACATTTATGTGTGCATTTACATAGACAAGCCTGCCGTGGAGCACCGCAATGATGCAAAGTTTCGACTTAATCTATTTAATTGTAAGTCCAAAATGTTCTTCACAAAGACTCTCAGATTCTATCTGCAAAGAATATCCACTCAACGAACGCCCAGCTCAATCATGTCCAGCTCACCTGCCACGCCCAGCTCACCCGGAAGATGAACACCTGCCGCCTCCAAGTCTACAGTCTACAGTCAGAGTCTTTTCGGTGGCGCCCATGGTTCCGTCCACCCAGACACATCCGATCTTTCCTCGCAACCCCGGCGGAGTGAGGTGGCGTCCCACCGCAGTAAGCGAACGCCCGCCGCGGGCGGAGGTTCGAACTCGCTCATTGGGGATCAAACTCGCTCTTCTCACCTCAGCGGAGCATCCTACCTGGGTCCGTGATGGGAATCCAATGCATTGGCCAAAACCTCTCCGAATCTAAGAAAGTCAGAAACGCCCAAGACCGACCCAAAAAAACTCCAAAGACCTGCAGATTTGAAACGAGCTCTACGCTGATCGCGGTCTGATTTCCAACTATACTCTCTTTTGCACATGGAACAGCTGTCCAGCTCGGCGGCCCAGCCCTGCTCAATTGTTCGGAGCTCCATTGCGCCCCAAAGCATCCTGGCCTCCTGCGGCGTGCAAAGCGGCCGCGGTGTCGCGAGAACAGGTGTGCTCGTTCGGATGAATCGTTGAAGCCGCTTTGTTGGCACAGCAGAAAGCAGCGAAGAATCGTGGAAATGGACAGTTAGCTTAGTAAGGGTGCTTGGCATGAGCTTCTACGGTCTAACGGAAGTATTGGCGCCGTAGGGATTGTACAAACCTGAAACACTTCTAGGCCGCTCGAAGATTATCTTCCACAAACCACTTTTCAGCCCACAATCGCCTGATCAAACCTCTTCCTTGGCCTTGAAAGGTGATGGAATCGAAATTGGTGTGGGACCAGCTTCGTATGAGGTCCCGGCAACGCATATACTGCGAAATGAAGATGAATGAACATGAACAATACTGTGTCCAAAACATACGTACAGTAAGCACAGGTTGGAGTCGTAGAGTTTGGGGAGGTGATGTTCCATGAACTTATATATTTGATGTTCAATGATTTTCCTCTATCCAGTGGGTTACTAGCAACGTTTTTAGATTTTTGAGGCAGAAGTCATGCTGTTGAAATCCACCGTAGTTTGCTTGACTTTACTATATTCTACCTTCAGCATGATGCCATGCCTTGATTCAGTATCTCTGTACCTCTCTGTACCTCGAACCACACCTTGAACCACACACATGTCACCCCCATTTCGCCCGGTGGCTGGTGCCCCTCCTGGCCGATCATGTCTGGGTGATAGGAAAACTTGTGGTCTGCGACGATGATGACCTCCACAGACGATACACGGCTTCGAGACGTGTCCTCCACGGCCGAAGCGGAAGAGGCACATTCGTGTTGTCTGGATCGCGTTGTCTGGATAGCATTGGAAGGGTTCTTTCCAAGGATCTGAAGTTCAAGGATAGGCTCTGGCACCGCTGGCAGGAATGTGTCATTTTAATGCAACGCTTCGGGCATAGGGCCATGGGGCCATGCATTGCCAAAAGATGCCATGCAGCGGTCCAAGGAGAAGGCAGCGAGCTCCAAACAAATGGACTGGTGAGGTCATTGAGGTCCGTTCAGGCATGGAGGGGGGTCGATAACAGCTACCCTTTCATATCATCTATAGTGGCATGTTCACATCCTTTCACGACCAGGGCGCATCCCCTCTATAGATTCACCAACCAGCAAAGACGGTCGAAGAACAGAGTCAGCTCCCTCTATCTCCATGGACGAAGAAGGTCATCGCCAACGCCCAAGCCCATCAAAGCCCTTGTCCCCCAAATCACCCGAACCAGAGGCTTTTCGGGCCTCACCCTCCTTCAGCCCTGCTGCTTTCATGGCTTCTCGCATACCGGTCGCCTGCATACCGGTCGACTGCATCCAGCCGCTGTGTCTTCGTTTTCTGGACTGCTTCGTCCAGGTCTCGGTCAGAAAATGACAAATCCTTTTGGGCATAAAAAAACTTCACATCGAAACTGCTGAGCTGCAAGATCTACTATGATCTACTCAGTTTCAAGGGACATAGAAGGACATAGAAGGACCAGATCAAAAAAATCTCTAGACCCAGTCGTATCCGAGCGGTGGCTGCTTGTTCTTGTGCCCACTGGTGGTATGATGCACATGAGATCACAAGCAACATGGAACATGGCGGCCAAGGCAGCCAAGCGTTAAGCTTGATGTCTGCATCCCACGAATTGACACATATGACATAATATTACGGCCTATATACATACCCTGCGGTAGACTGCACACGCTAAACACATGAGGTTGAGGCCTGTCAAGCCAAACCAATGTTCAAAACACCAGACATTGCCCAAAAGAACTAGTTGGTATCAAGTATACGTAGAGGTCAATTCATCTTGTTCGCATTGCAAGTAGGACTCCTCCTCCTCTTGCCATCTTGTGCCACCAACAAGTTTTCTCATTAACCGGAGGTGGTCTCAAATTCAGCCTTGGGTCACACTCTAGGAGCGAGCCTGAACCTTGGATTTGTCCAGGAACCGGGACAAAAAACCACCTGTTTGGGTTTGTGTCGACCGGGATTCCAGTTCCGGACAAACCTCGGCCCATCCGCAAGACCCAGTGATAAATCGACATCCCCCCATGTCCACCAACCCAAGTGGATCTTTCCGGCGGAACCGCGAACCGACGACGACCGGGGGGATCGGCGCCTTCAAGACACGGTTGAGGCGGTCGTAGCCGGCATCGCGCCCGGGGACGCCCTCGTAGCTCCAGTCCGTGCGGCGAGCAATCTGACGAGACAGAAAGGACATGAGATGCAAGGTACAAATGGCCAAGTATATGCTATACCCTGCATCCAAACAAGCATGGAAGTGAAACATGGGCCTGGGGATCTAAATTTGCGAACACCTCGCAATCTTGGCTGGCAGTGTTGACTTCACCCTGCCTCTTCCACTTCGGGATGATACAAACGCCATGCCTCACACAAAAGCATCAAGCTTCTGGCTAATATCCAGCCCCACCTACAGGATCAGGAGCCAGGTCTTCAACCCTAGCCACTCTATAAATAGTATCCATGCACAAATCTACTTCAGCCCAGTAGTTGTTGCATATTGCATGAAAAAGGGCAGCGAGAAAAGCAACAAAACTCCATGGATTGGGCCACTCAATCCATCTTCGCGCCTCCTCAATCACATCCCACTCAACTCTGGCCTTTCGCGCACAAAAAATCTTAACATGCCACAAGAAGCTTGGAAGAATACTAGCAGTAATACTAGCTGGTCGATTTGGCAATCGGTGTGGGATGGTTTGGGATGTTATGGGCCACTCGGTGTCTAGCAAGCCACCTTAATAAACCGCATATAACAGCGTCACTTAAGGTCAGCACTCACCAACTACGGGTCTTCTTCCAAGCCAGGTTCTTCTTCCGCAGGTGTCGGGAGGGTACTGTGTGGTCTGCTAGTCTTCTCATCTGAAGGCCAAAGACTGAAGACTTTAGTTCAAAACTGAAGAGAATATGATGGCGGGTTCTTCCGTCGCTTAGAACTGGATACACATCATATACAGTAAGCAGGTCTGAGGTCCCAAGTCAGTCCTTGCAGGAATTATGTGGAAGGCTTGACTGAACTTGAGAAGACCTGAGAAGTTATATATCGTGTTCTGCAAATAAAATCTGGAGAGTCCATACTGTAGCCCTCCTTTAGGAATGACATGTCGTTCTTTGATGAGAGACACCCCAAATGAGGAAGCTGAAGCTTGCGACATTCCAACTAAACTGCTATGTGCCACAGCATCCAAACTCTCATAACCTGTCTTAGGATCTTAGAGTTGGTCAGTGGGTAAGCACGGGAGCACTCCCCAATAAAGAATAAAGACAAAGCTCTCCATCAACTGTTGAGATCATCCAATGCCGGAGATTGGATCGCATGCTCCCAAAACAAACCGCCCCTTTCTGGAGCAGCCGGGAGCAGCCCATCTGGACGCCCACCCGCTACCTACCGCCCATCCTCGTCCCAAGGGTCCCAGACGCGTCATCCGATGGGACTGTCATACCGATCAGGCCAAGGGTGAGGCGCCATCCCTGGGATCAATGTAAAAAAATCCAGTCCCATGGAGTGGGGAAGCCGCCCGACTTCTGTGCCTGGAAGCCTGACTTCTTTCTGCGGCCC